CTTTGGCACACATGGATGTCAATATGTTCCGAGTAGTGGCGCTATGCTATTTATTTTGATGTTCAGGGCCGAGATTGAATGAAGTGGCGGTAACATTTATTCTGCGCTCAGTAAATTATCAAGTACAGTACAGTACGAAATTTCAATGCATTCCTGTTGCTTTTTAATAAATTCATTAGTTGTATTCTGTTCTCCGCATTTAACCACTACCGATATGACTTGACACTAGTCTCCTTTTCATTTCCTGCAACTCACAGTTTTGGAATCCATTTCCTTATTGTTCTTGTTCTCTATTTCAAGATATTAGAGGTATATTTGGTATACCAAAAGGGACTTCGGTCATGTTCCAACTTCAGAGCTATAATCAGTGGCGGATCCAGTAAACGGAAAGCTGAAGATTCTTCTCATATAAAATATATGAATTCCCATTGAATGAAAGAAAAAATCATCATCAAAACACTAATATCAATATGAATTGAATGAACAATCCTGTCTAGGAATTACGCCCGCAAAAAAAAAAAATAAAAAAAAAAAAATGGTTCTTGTGGGAATCGAACACACAATCTCCAGGTTTGCTATTCATTATACACCATCAACTGCCTTTAAAAAAAAATTGGTTCGTGTGGGAATCGAACCCACGACCTTCAAAAAAAAAATATAAAAATAAAAATAAATTAAAAAAATTTCAAAAAAACTTGCCCCGTGTGGGAATCGAACCCACGATCGCTGATCGTGGGTTCAACGGAGGGAGGTAAACCGCGGCCCCTAAACCATAAATGCGATAAACCTAGCACCACACCAAGTACCAGTTAGTCAACTCTAATCTTACTAGAAAAAATTCTTCGTATATATACAATACAGGTTAATATTACGCATGGTCATGGTGTCAAAAAAATGGGCCGTAGGCCAAGAGGGTTTATTTTTTGTCTAAAAATGTATAATTAAATTTATAATTGATTTATGATTGTTACCATCTCCATAACTTACACACTTTTTTTTAAATAGACAAAATTGTTGAAAAAATTCATTATGCAAATTAGAAAAAAATAGACCAATCATGTTACGGGAATTTATTGTACTCGTTGATGACGTCACGAATTGCGAAATAACAACAAACAACAACCTTTCATGTCCCAGCATGGGAACCAGTCAATTCGAGCGAAGGCCAATTCGAGCGGATTTTTTTTTCGAGCGGATGCTAGTTCGAGCGGAAGAAGATCCACTTGTGCGAACAACAACCTGTGCGAGTTATATACGAATTTCTATTATTTCTATTTTTGAGCTAACAATTTGCTCAAGCTTTGCCTGGAGGCAGGGGAAAGCCCCAGTCGGTTCCGGGGAAGACGGGGAAGACGCCTATAGCCTTATGTATAACAAGTCGTATTTAATGGATTTTTAGGTTAACAAATAATAAAGTTCTATTTGTTCTGAATGTATATGGTAAGTGAATCCTATTGGAATAGGAATTTCTTTTATAGCCTGCCATCTCTATCTTAGAGTAAATAAATAAATAAACAAACAAACATACCCACATTCATAAAATAATTATATATCTTAAATTATACTAACTTAGTCAATGTTATCCTTTCCACAAGTTTAAAAAAAACAGTGGGTTTTGAACTTCAGAAGAAAATTGGTACGATGTCATTATTACTGTACTGTTGATACTTGTCACAGGGGCGGATCCAAAATTTTTCAAAGGGGGAGGGGGCACACAACAGTTCCAGAATAGATACATGAGTAGCACTAGCTCGTGCACTCTAGTAAAACATGCACTTTCTTTTTTAAGCATTTCAATTTGTTGCTTGAAATTTTCTCATGGCATTGCCGATTTAATCACCAAATTGGGGGACTTCGTCTTCGCTTCGCATCGTTAAAAGCTATATTATTAGCACATTACAGTGGCGGATCCAGGGGTGGGGGGGTTCAGGGGTTTCGGACGAACCCCACTCTGTGAAGAAACGTAACAAAATACTATGGGTCCTGGCTTACAAAATTCATGCTAACTAGACGCGGATCCAGACCTTCGCCCACTGCGCCCAGGCGTAGGTCAGGGTGAGAATTCAAAATAAAATGTTAACCATTTTTTTCCAACAATCATACTTACTTTCCTTGACACTATTTTGAACATTACCATTAGGAAAATGTTTAAATCCCCACTATCCTATACAGTACACTTTTAAACTGATTGTACTGTAGGCCCTACCAGAGAGAGAGAGGTATATTTCCAATAAATTATGGTCTTCCACTTCTATAGCGCATGATACAGTGCATAGCAAACGTTATGTAACCACCAATAATACTTAGGTCCAGTGGCGTAGGTATGGAAAGTGCAGTTAGTGCACAGCACTGGGGCCCGGGGCTATTGGGGGCTCGTTCAATAGGTCTAATGATCTAAAAATATAACTTTAAAAAAATCCTATTTAAACTTTAAAAGGACCCTTCAATAATAATAGGTTGTAGATGCTATATATTATTGATTATATTCATTACAATTTACCTATTACCCATTTCCCAAACGCTGCAAGTAAAAAACACAACAACAAAACAAGCCCTTACGTATACGATGCACTACTTTTTTGAAATCACATTTCCAAAGCAATAAAATATCGACACGCACATTTGTGTTTGTGGTATTAAAGTTGGTTGAACTATTATTGTGTACGTTTTTAAACACTTCAGATCATCATAACATCATGAATACATTTTAGATTCAATTCACTGCAAGTAGGTCGATGACTGTTCTATTATTGAATGGTAAATGTTGTTTTCGTGACGATAGACAATACCGGGATTTGCGTCAGAAGAATCAATTAAGGGGTCTATATGTATTTTTCCCAATCTGTCGTGAAAATATATTGAATACTCAGTGCGCGATTCAATATACATTTTTAAATCAAATTTCTAAAGCAATAAAATTATATCGTCACGCACATTTGTATTTGTGGTATCACTGTGTCCCACTATAGCCAATTTGGCAACCACCGGACACAATGAAAAAGAATAGGATTATCTTGGAAAATATTAAACAAGATATTTATAGTTTATCACTGTGTCCCACTATAGCCAATGTAGGGCACTGAAAAAATTGTTGGATCATCACCCCCCCCCCCCCCACCCCCGCGTGAAAAATTCGGGAAATATTGATGTGGGATAAAAAAACATACTTTGCCGCATCAATTATTTTAACAGCATAACACAATGCAAATCTG